TAAATATAAAGTATTTAAATATAAAGTATTCAAATATAAAGTATTTAAATATAAAGGGTCTTTTCTGGGGTAAAGAAAACTACAATTCATATAATTTAGGTGAAACTAGTGAAAACATCATGAGGATTATTCTACATTAAATTTCTGCCAGTAGATCCTTTCACCTGAATCTTACACACTGGACCTTTAAGGTGCAGATACAGATAAACTGGTTTGAGTGATTGTGACTGATGACGATCTTAATATCTGATTTTTTTACCCCAAGTCAAAGGAGCCAGTAGCAGCAGCTCTGTCGGAGTCGTCCCCGGTCGTATCACGTACTCGGGGCTGTATGGGTCCGTCTGCGTTTCGCTCTCCCTGTAGTCCGTCTGCACATCCACAGTGACGTGTGTGGGCTGCTGCTCTGCATCTTTTCCACCAGGCGTTACGAAGTTTTCTCTGAGGTGACAAAAAAGAGAGGATGTACCCTCCGCTAGTTACCAGGACAACGTACACGGATGGAAAATAACTGAATGTGAGGAAGCTGCTGAACTTACTGTGGCAGAGCATAGATGGCATCAGGGAGGAGCTGCTGTGTCGAGGGAATCAGAGGACTGAGGGGAACAGGACGGAGGAAACCAGATCAGAGATTATGTGGATTTGTACAGATCACAGAAATGTTATATCATCACGAGCCAGACTGATTTATCCTCGAGTCTTTTGCTGACACATCGGTATCTGTGTTTGTTTGCTGATATGAAAACTTAGTTTACTGAATAAACAATGCAGAAATGAGAAATTTAACATTTCTGAATTCTGTTTCTATATGTTTGCTTGTATTTATGTTTCAATTGTTATTTGTAACAAAGTTTATGGTTAAAGTGTAAAATATCAAACTTCGATTGCATTTCGGTGTAACAGGGGTTTGATATATCGACTTCTTAGGAATCAATCACCATTTTTTAAATATCTCGTATTTGTGGATTTATCTGTACTGGAAATGTTTTACTCCCTAATATTGTTTTCAGGACAATCAGTCGGGCTCTGATGATTTTATTCCACCAGCTTCATATTAGAATCTAACCGTTGAAAGTATTTCCAGCGATCAGCTCCAACACGCCCATCCTGCCTTCTTGGAATAACCCTGAAAAGAACAACAATCAACAACCAAAGGCCACAGTTCAAAAGTGAAATGAGTAATCTAACTTTTCCCGGACACAGCTCAGAAACTGCTGCTGCCGTTACCCTGCGTGCTGCTCCCCGGGGCCTCGCCAGGATCGATCCACAGACGGTGGGATGGGGTCGGCGGGGCTCAGCTGAAGAGTGTACCCTGGGTGGTGAGGCAGGCTGCTGAACATGGAGCCAAACTTAGGCACTCGACACTGAGTCAGGGAGAGAGAATCAGGGCTGGAGCTTCTCATCAGGTGTGTTTGTTCGTCTAAATGTCTGAACATGAATTTTTATGACTTTAAATCAACGGACTGGTTGAATCCTCTTGTTTTATTCTACTTTAGTTGTATACACTGAGTATTCCTTTGTTCTCCTTTGGTCCTTTGATGATAGAGAAGAGGCTTCTTCATTCAGCAGAGTCTGAGGATCTGACCTCATCCAGTAAAAACTCACCACTCGGTGTGTGGAGGCTCTGGACCGGACGTGGTCGACCTCAGAGGAAACCGTGTGAACCGGATCTGCGGCAGAAACATCAAAGCCTCACTTCAACATGCTAAGCTAGCGGGTCGTTAGCCTGCGTGCGAACTCACCGTACAGGAAGTCATAAACCCGCTGACGCCTCGTGACGCCTTCATTCATTTTCACTCTGAGAGGAAAAACTTTTTTTAAAGAACTGTTCCTGCTGCAGATCAGCTGATTGTCCGGTCACCATGGAGACCGTCAACCAACACACACACAGCCGGAAACCAAATCAAACCGTCACAATAAAACGTCGTCAAAAACCAGACTTCATTCACTTTGTAAATCCTTCAGATGAAGCTGAGGATGGTTATTAGTTATTTATCGTTATGTATAAGTTATGTTATTTTATTTGAGTGGCACTGATTCATCTTAAGGAAACTTCCAACTACTCTGTTCCCTACCAAAGTAAAATCTTTACATCAATATGAAGTCACCAGCAGAGGGCGCCATCACACACTGAGAGGGTCATGACACGACTATGGTTTTATACTACTACTACTAATAATAATAATAATACTACTACTACTACTACTACTACTAATAATAATAATAATAATACAACT